AAAGGACAGCCAGTGACTATGCTCAGAGTTAGAAAAATTATGTCATGTGCAAGGAACAGCAAGGAGGCCACTGTCACCAGATCATAGGGTATGTGAGGGGAAGGGAGGTATAAGAAGACTGACAAGGTAGGAAGGGGCCAGGTTTTGAAGTGCTTTGAAAGCCAAACAAAGGATTTTATATTTGATCCTAACAGTAATAGGGAGCCACTGGAGTTTGTTGAATTGGAGACCAAGTGGAGGATGGATTGGAGTGGGGAGAGACTTGAAGCAGGGAGACCTAGCAGAAGACTATTGCAATAGTCCAGGCATGAGGTGATTGAGAGCCTGCATCAAAGTCATTGTAGTGTCAGAGGAGAAAATGAGCATAAATAAGAGATGCTACAACAGTAGTATTGGACAGGACTTGGCAACAATTTTGGATGTGAGGGGTGAGAGTGAGGGATCGAGGATGCCACCTGGCACTGGAAGCTTGGGTAAGAGGATGGTGGTACTCTCAGCAGCAACAGGGAAAGGCAGTAGAGGGGGAGGGTTTAGGGAGAAAGATAATGAGTTCAATTTTGGCCATGTTGAGTTTGAGATGTTTATGAGACATCTAGTCTGCAATGTCTAAAAAGCAGTTGGAGATGTGAGACAGAAGGTCAGGGGAGAGGTTAGCGCTGCACCGGTAGATCTGAGATGATAATTGAAGCCATGGGAGCTGACAAGATCATCAAATGAAATGCTATAGAGGGAGAAGAGGACCCATGATTGAGCCTTGGGGGACCCCCACTGTTAGTGGGCATCATGTGGATGAAGATCCAGCAAAAGAGGCAGAACATGATTGATCAGATCAGGAGAGAGCAAGAAGAGAGAGAAGAAAGTACCAAGGAGAAGACATATTAGATGGATGTTTGACTGCCCCCCATGAAGCGATCCCATCAGTCTGAAGACTTTCCCCCGCTATCCTGAGTCAGGATTGTACCAAACCTGAGTGGTGCGTGTTAAGTGTGAACAATCACAAAAGGGACGAAGATGCAGAGAGTACTGATAATCTAGTGAATAAAACATTTTTCATTTGAATGACAAGAACTGGGGAAAATGACAATAAACTTTTTATAGGAAAAATATATAGGCTTTTTCAGTGTGTACGTAAGCATTTTATTTTCTTTTAAAGGAATCTTATTTTGAGGATGTGCCTATGTTCATTCACATCAATACAGTCTATCTTTTCTTGATTGCTTTTGAAAGACAAGAGTGTGATGTAGTGGGAAGAGCACTGGATTTGGAATCCAAAGACCTGAGTTTGAATCTTGGCTTTGCTGTTTACTACCTGCCTGACCTTGGGCAAATTGCTTCCTCTCTCACTGCCTTACTTTACAGCTCTAAAGCTATGATCCTATGGGTTCTAGGACTTAGATACTGAAGAAAATGTAGTGCCTAGGGGCTGGGCCTGGTGCTGGTTTTGGTGCTGATCGGAGTTAGCCAGCCTGACTGATTCATTGAACAACTGAGTAGAACAGGAAATGTGTGTGTGTGTGTGTGTGTGTGTGTGTGTTTGAGTGTGTGTGTGTGTGTGTTGGGGGTGGGTAGAGGTCACTTATGCATACCCACTTCCTTGTTTTAAGCTCAAATATAGGACAATGACATTGGGCAGTTAGGCACTGCAGTGGTTAGAGCTCCTGGCCTGGAGTCAGGAAGACCTGAGTTCAAATCTGGCCTCAGACACTTACTAGCTGTTTGACCCTGGGCAAGTCACTTCACCTTGTTGGCCTCAGTTTTCTCATCTGTAAAATGAGCTGGAGAAGGAAATGACAAACTGCTCCAGGATCTTTGCCAAGAAAACCCCAAATGGGTCATGAAAGGTCTGACAGCTGAAAAAATAACTGAATAACAACATGAGACAATAACATTTCTACATGTCTCAAGTGGAACAGACAATGACGTACAAGGTAATCCCCTCTGTGTTGGCCATGTGGTAACCAGAAGTAAGATAACTTCTGAGGACATTCAACTCAGCACTAAAACATCGGGCTTGATCATGAAACTTGCTTCACTCACTCACTCATTCTTCTTTTTTTTTTTTTAAACCAGACTTGTGATTTCACCAGTACAGGAGGCTCCTAGTGAGGAACTTTCTTTACCAATGTAGATCAGCACCATACCCACAATGTCTACTCTTTTTTTTTATTGCAAGGCATTTGGGGTTAAGTGACTTGCCCAGGGTCACACAGCTAGTAAGTGTTATGTGTCTGAGGTCAGATTTGAACTCAGGTCCTTCTGACTCCAGGGCCAGTGCTCTAGCCACTGCACCCCCTAGCTGCTCCTCCCAATGTCTACTCTTAAGAGAGCTGCCTGGAGCATTGACAAGTTAGGTCACTTGCCCAGCATCACCCAGCCAGGATGTGGCAGAAATGGAGCCTAAACCTGGGTCTTCTCAATTCCTGAATCAGCTCTTCTAGCCACTACCTGGATAGCAGTACACTGCTACACTGGCCTCCCCATTCATTCATTCATTTAACAAACCCCTCTTGCATACCTATTATATTCAATGTCTTGTGCTAGGTCCTGGGGAAGGATAACAATGGTAAGTAAGACAGCTCCAGCCCTAGAGGACTTTGTGGTCTAATACTACAATGGATGGCCCCTCCTTCCATCACAGCTGATTCTAGCCTTTCCCCAATTCATATGATTCTTCTTATCCACATCCTTCAGTACATCTTCCCCAGAGGACCATTTCCTCCTGCCAATAGACTAGTTCCCTTCACCCTTGCTACAGTTAGTCCCCTCGCTTCTCTAGTTATACTTGTCTTCCGTAATGTCTTTTATCCTGTATTCCTCCTGAAAGTCACTCTTGGTCACATGCTGCAGCCTTCTTATGCCTACCATGTGTCTCTCCAGTGTACTGGGGCCACTTCACATACGAGTCTGGTTCTGCTGAGGCTGTGGTTTCAATCAATCAATCATCAAGCTGTTATTAAGGCCATGCTATGGTGGTAGGTACTGGGGATCAAAGACGAAAATGAAACACTTCCTACCCTCAAAGAGCTTACATTCTCTAATGGGAGACAACATGAATGAATGAATGAATGAATGAATGAATGAATGAATGAATGAAAAAAGGTCCTAAGTACTTACCACTATGTGCCAGGCTGGACCAACCACTAGAAATATAAAAACAAGCAAGATCGTACCTGCCAGCAAGGCTATTACGTTCTTATAGGGGACAGAGAGGTAGAGTTGGAAAGGGGTGGGGAGAGTGAGGGTGTAGGCTGCACATGTGATCTACAGGCAAAGGAGTGTACACAAAACTAATGGAAGGTAATTTTGGGAGGGAGTACAAAAGGCAACAGGAAAGGATTCATGTAAGAGATGGCATTTGAATAGCACTTTGAAAGAAATTGGGGAGGCAGGAGTGAGAGTATGCCAGGCATACAGGGCAGCCTGGGCAAAGACAGGAGTGGAAGCCAGGTTGACTGGATCATAGAGCATCTGAAGGAGAGTAATGTAAAATAAGGCTTGAAAGGTAGGCTGGAGCCAGACAGTGATGGGGCTTTAAACAGCAAATAGAGGAGTTTGTATTTGATTCTTGTGGTAATAGGGAGCCACTGGAATTTATTGAGCAGAGGAGTGACATGGTTGGAACTGCGGTTTGGGGAAATCACTTTGATAGCTGTATGGAGGATGGATTGGAGTAGGGAGAGACTTGAGGCAGGAAGACCATTATCTGAGCCATGGAGAATCACCTGGAGAACACTGGTATTCAAGAGCTGGGCTTTTGATGCAGAATGTAGTTTGGGATCATTGAAAACTAGCATTGCAATCTGTGCCATCCTTCTCTTCCTGTTCAACTTTGGGCACACTTCATTGCCTGTCCAAGATCTCTGTATGTGCTGATGGACTAAGTCAATGGGCTGCTATCACAATCTGTGGAGTCTGCCTGCTCTCTACAAGGGATTCCATTTCAGGTCCAGGTTGGAGTGGATTTCCTCTGAGTTCTCTTCTAGGTCTGATTCTGTGACTGCAAGCATTGTATTTCCTCAAACTATGAATTTTTAAATGAGTATCTCTGAAAACTAGAAAGTGGATTATTGTTAGTATTAATTAGCAGTCATCAAAGACATGGGTCTGTATTGGTTGTGTGGTGGGATTTCTCAGGATATAGGGATGCCTCAGCATGATGTGGAGGTGATCCTAGGTTCTCAAAGGCTATGCTAGTTAGGTGCGTGCTCTGTCGGGTCCTAGCAAATTGAAAAAGCTACAATCTTAATAATAATAATAATGAGAAAGAGGATGCTGATAATGATAACAAAGGGCAATTACCGTTTGCAGAGCACTGTACATTCATTATCTCATTTAATCTTCACAATAACCCCAGGAGGCAGATACTATTATTATCCCTATTATACAGGTGAGAAAGCTGGGACCCAAAGAAGTTAAATGACCTGTCCAGGGTCCTACTGCTAATAAGTGTCTGAGGTGGGATTCAAACCCAAGTCCAGCGCTCTGTCTACTGTGCTGCATTGCTTCTCAAGTTTGGAGGGGCTGATTATAATTGATGGAGAGAAGACTTTTTGGGGGGGGTGGGGATCAGAACTGTGCTTTCCTTGGTGTAAGGAAGGAACTCTGAATGGGGAAACTCTCTCTACCAATATAGATCAGCAAGTGTTCTGTAACTGGTGGTCTTAAAGAGATGCATGGGGCCCTGAGAAGTTAAGGGCAACAGGCAGCATGTGTCAGAGGTAGGATTGGCACTCAGGTCTTCATGACTCTGAAACCAAGGCTGTGGCTGGCCTCATATTCACTATACCAAGAGAACTCCAGCTCCTCAAAGCAGTGAGACTTTGACAAGTACAAGTTCACCCCTCCAGGCTTTATAATCTTGGGGATCTCAAATGAACGCATTGCATTAGACTGACATCAATGGCCTTTGCATGTGACTCACTAGGTACTGACGTGGGGATTTTGTGGGTGCTTTCAGTCGTTTTTAACATCTTGTAGTAACTGCTGTTTTCTTTCCTTAGATTTCCCTCCCAACATTCCCAAGTTATTGATGGCCCCAGGACTGATGTAAGTGTATGATATTTTCTTTATGAAATTCCCAAAGCTCTCCCTTCTCCCAAAGGGATCACAGTAAGGTGCCAAGAGCCTTGAGTGTTTCACAGTGGCCAGCCTCCAACCCCATGCAATGGGACACACTGGGAGAGGGAGACTGCCCCCTGGGGAGAGGAAGGAGCCGCAGAAATGGTGCTAGCAATCATCAGGACCCACCCAACGCCTTCATCTTCACTCCCACTACCTCTAGTAGCTGAGACAGGGGTCACTCAGCTAGGAAGTAGGACAGCCAGGATTTGAATACAGTTCTTCTTACTCTAAATCTAATGTTTTTTTCAATGGTATCATGCTGCCCTTTCTTTGACCACCCCCCCAACTTTTTCATGGCCAGCCCACAAGCTGCTACTGTTTCCTCACCATTTTCTTTACCGCCATGATGTCCCATTCTGAACACAAACCTAACCTCGCAGTGGGGAATTCCTTGTCTATTGGGGGCCAGGAATCAGTCAGGTCACAGAAGCAGGGAGACAGCAGGGTGAACTTGCAGTATTGACCCTGGGGCAGAGGACTTGAGTTTAAGGCCTGACTGTAGCAGCTGCTGTCTGTGTGACCTTGGGCAAGTCACTTTACCTGCCTGGGCCTTAGTTTCCTCATCTATAAAATGAAGGATGACCTCTGAGGTCCCTTCTAGCTTTAAACCTATGCTCCTATGAAGTTAAAAAAAGCTTCATTTAGTTTCGTTTTGAAATAAAAATCTAAAATGCTACGTTCATACTTAAAATGAAAATGAGGGGATATAAAACTATTCAATAAATGCAAAAAATTACATATATATGTATATATATTTATATATGTGTATTTATATATATATATATATATAAATATATATACATATGACAAATTCCTGCTGGTGTAATGGAATGAGCACTGAATTTGGAGTAATATTTGGGCTTCAGATCTTAAGCTTACTGGCTATATAATTTGGGGCAAGTCATTTAATTTCTTTGAGCCTCAATTCTGTCATCTGCAAAATAGAAATAATCATATTTGTAGTGCCTGTCTCTCCAGGCTATTGTAAAATGATGCATGTAAAAGTCTTTGTAAACTTAAAACACTATACAAATGTCAGTTCTTATTCCATTATGGGAAGGAGGATACAGAAGGTGGGTGAAAGAGAGAGACAGAGGGAGAGAGCCACACATACTGAAAAAAATGATACCCATACAGGAGTAGAGAGGGGGCCAGGCCATTCTTATAGGTATGTGGAGAAAGTGGTTGCCTGTCTGGTATAATTTTAGGGGCTCTAGGAAGGCTCCACTGCCATCCCAAGACATTCCCCCTTCTTCACCTCAGTGGGGCTTTTATTTGCTGATGACGCAAAGATGGCAGTCAAGCCCCATGCCTATAGAGGGGAGGCCCCTGCTTTATAGGAAAGGTATGGTGAGGGGAATTCTTAGACATAATAAAAATGTTTTCTTGTGCTTCTTCTTCTTCTTTTTTTTTTTTGACTAGGCAATGGGATTAAGTGACTTGCCCAGGGTCACACAACTAGTAAGTGTTATGTGTATGAGGCTGGATTTGAACTCAGGTCCTCCTGAATCCAGGGCTGGTGCTCTATCCACCGCACCACCTAGCTGCCCCGAAATATTTTCTAAGTTAGTGACCTAGCATTACTAATCAATCAATCAGTTGCACTCCATGGAACCTTAGATGAGAGGAAGGATTGCTTTATCCTTTGTATTTGTAACTCTAGCAACTACCACACACCTGGCACATAGTAGGTGCTTAACAGGTGCTTAGGGATTGATGGATTCAAACAAATCTTTTAAAGTCTTAATTAGACCACTGGCACAAACCAGTGATTAAAAACTGAACAAAAGGGGGTATGTTCCCCAAATCCTAACTATACATTGCAGAGGTCACTGTGTTCTGCGATGCCCGACCTCCAAAATGGCTAGGGCGCCAAGGCTTTTCAAGCCTCATGGTTAACATCTCAGACTTGGCTTTTGTTTCTCTTTCTGAACATCTGGTGTTCATTTCCAGTTAATTGTGGCTCTCAATGACCAGAGGCCGGTGGTGGTGGTGGTGGTGGGGTTTCTCTGCCACTTTTGGGGTCTCCAAATGACAAATAATGGGTGCCTACAGAGAAAGGGGGCAGGGAGGGATGTTTGCCTGCAAAACTGGCACTGGAATAGGCTGCCTGAGAACTTGGCCTTGCCGTGCTCCTAGCTGCTAATGAGCAATGCGCTCAAAGAAGGAGAATGGAAAATGTGAGTTTCTTTCCCACTAATGGGAAAAATAAAAGCATTTCAAGATTTTTGCCTTAGGGAGAAGTTCTAAGGTTTGAAGTACTCTACATGGGATTTCGAGACAAAGTGCCAATAAAGGTCTTGGTTTTACGGGAATGGGTGTTTTTTAAAAGATGGTAAAATTACCTCAAAGTAGTAACCCTAGCAGTAATACTGAGCTGAGCAGTAAGGCCTTCATTCAGAGCTTGAATAGTGGGGACAAAAAAAAAGGGAGACACTAAGTCTTTTTATTTTCGTGCCATTTCACCAAATCACAGAATCATAGATTTAGAGCTAGAAGGGGTCTTAGAGGCTAAGGAGTTAAAACATTGCCAACTCCATTTTGCACATGAGAAACTGAGGCACAGAAAAGTTAAGTGACTTGCCTAGGGCCACACCAATAATTATTGTATATAAACCTGAGGCAGGATTTGAATCTGGTCCTCCTGATGCCCAGCCCAGTGCCCTTTCCAAGACCATGCTGAGTAACTTCCTCGGACGCTATCTGAGTGCTGACAGCGTAGGCCTTCCCCCCATATCAAGAGAAGTTCAGATCTGAGCTACTTACGTGCAGGACTGACTCCCAATCAAAGGCGTCGGCAATGCTATTTCCTTGCTTGCTGAGAGTAACGTGTACCGTGCATTGATGACCTCATCAGCATGGCTATTCACTCTCTACCATCTTGGGGTGCAGAATACAACCTAGCCAAGTCATTATCCTTTTTGATTCTTGTCCATGTCCTGTATTCCTTCAGAGTGGATCCACCCACTGGGCTGGAAGCCATTCTTGGGGTCTTTTCAAGTTTTATGGATCCCAGTGCAGCAATTGGGTATCCATCAGGAGAGATGTATGGTGGATAGAAACAGGCTGCAGCACACTATTGATGATGTGAGACCAGAAAAGAAGGTGAGCCAGTCATGTAATGGAAGCCAGGGATAATAGATGGTATCATTCTATATAGGCATGAATTAGCTAGGACCGTTATATCATCTGATGGGATAGCCCACAGTGTGCCCTAGGCTCTGAAATATAGTTAGAAACTGAAGTTCCAATGGTGGACCCATTGGTGTGAAGCATCATGAAACAGGATACATCTATGGATGCGTAGAAGATGCAGAGATGAACCTTTCTTTGAGTTAAGTAATTTCTTTGGCATTCTTTTATAGTGCTACAATATCAGAGGATATAATCCTATGGCTGGAAGGGACCTCCAAGGTCATCTGGTCTAACCCCCTCATATTATAGATGAGGAAACAGAGGCCCGGAGAAGCTAATTGACCGTGACTTGTCCCAGGCCTTTCAGGTCAGATGTAGCAGAGCGCTGATTAGAACTCAGGTTTCCTGACTCCAAGTTCGGCCTTCTCCCGATTGTACCCTGATATCTCCAATCTCTCTTGGCCCTTCTGGGAAGCTTCATTTGACACTCCAACTTTTGGCAACTTGCTATCAATGTCACCCACCTTCTCACCCAAATTGCAACCCTGTTTAATCTTTCTAAAAGCTATTTGAGTAGAGCCCCTGATAGTTTTTGCTTTTCTGAGTTTTGGAGGCCCAATTAATCAATAATCATGATTACCGAATATTTCTTATGGGCAAGGCACAGTGCTGAGGGATGTAGGGAGCAAAATACATACATGAAGTAGTCACTGCTGTCATATTCCCTGCAGTGGGGCTGCTACATATACCAGTGAATGGGGCTCTCACAGCTACTGGGGAAAGGTTCCTCCTGGCTAAAGAGTGACAAGTTTTGTGATGAGATCCAGTTGAGAACCAGGCACTAAAACCTAAAGGACTGAAGCGGAAAGGGAAAGCAGGGACAGGAGTGGCGATTCCAAGGCAGAGAGCTCAGAAGCAGAGCGGCAGGTCAGGAGGGAGTAGGGTGTGGCGCTCCTTGGTTGGCTTGTCTGGCCCAGTTTATCCCCTTGAATCTCCTTCCTTTAATTGTGTCATAGACATTCTTTCCCCTCACCTGCTCTGATGTATGCTGTGAGAAAATGTGGGAGTAGATGTCATGCCTCAAGGAGTTTAGAGTAAAGCTGAGGAGCTAAGACATGCACAAGAAGGAATAATCAACTATATATGATGAAGATGCAAAGACCAGGAAGGAAGGATTATACGAGTATAGACGTCAAGTTGGAAGAGACCACTAGAATTCCAACTCCCTCATTTCACAGATGAGGAAACTGAGGCACAGTGAAGTTAAGTGCCTTGTCCAGGGTCACACAGCTAGTGTCTGAGGCAGGATTTGAATTGAGGTCTTCTTGACTCCAAGTCCTATGCTTTATCTACCATTCTACACTACCAGACACATGTATTACTAATATGAAACAAAACATTTTGGGTTGGGAATGAAACAATGCTGATCAGGCATAAGGGGGAAAGGAAAGGAATAATTATTTATTAAACACCTACTATGTGCCAGGCACTGTGCTAAGCACTTTACAGATATTATCTCATGTGATTCCCACAACAACCTTATGAGTTAGGTACTGTTATTATCTTTACTTCACAACTGATGAAACTGAGGAAAAGAGAGGTTAGATGACTTGCTCAGGGTCACACAGCTAGTGAGTATCTGAGGTCGGATTTAGATTTAGGTCTTTCTGTCTCCAGGCACAGTGTTCTATCCACTGTACCACCTAGCTGCATAAGCCATTCCCTCTGTAATAACTCTCACTTTAAAGAGAATGCTAGCCATGCTTCCGTTTTAAGTGGTATATTAGGAAAGGCATCAGTCTGGGAGTCAGCGAGCTTAGATTCAAATCGTCATTCTGCTCCTTATTATCTGTGTGATCCAGAGCAAGTCCCTTCCCCTCTCTGGGCTTCTGTTTCCTCTGTGTGATGAGAGGGCTTCCTCCCTAAGGCACTCTCCATCTCGAAATCCTACACTCCTAGCACCCACTTACGACAGATTTGACTGGCATTCTTGCCCAGCCGGTCTGTTTTCAATGAAGCACACCTTCTGTTACCCAGTCCTCCATTTCCATCGTCCTGTTGGTTGCATCCAACTGGAGCAATCATGCCCTTCCTCTGGCAAACTCTGGTCCCATGGGATTCACAGTTAAGCTCATCTTCTGTGTCGATGCATTAATGCATCCATGTAAGAGGAAATGAAATTGCTCTTCATTTTTCCCTGCAACTCAATTCACGAGGACCAATAAGGGCAAGTGTGAACAAACGTTTCATCTGCATGCAACAACAGCACAGAAATGGAACCCAGACACTGCATTTATCAGTGATCAGCAGCACAGAGGGTGTATGGTTTCATGATGATACACGGTCTGCTCTGAAGGGGGTTTAAGCAAACATATGAAAGATGTTAGCGTGTGCTAGCGTGCTCAAGAGAGTTGATCTGGCTAAAGTGAAACATACACCTAGGTTTGGGGAAGTCTGTTATTTGACCCATAGACTTACTCTAATTTCTTTCCTTCTTCACATCCTTTTAGGAACCCTTTCCATTTCCAAGGGCTCACCAAGCGAGATCATATGAAAGATCTCAGAAGTTATCTTGTGTTCAAATATCTCCAGTATCTCATCTTGCCATTCCCCAATGTCGTCATCAGCTTGCTGGGCCTGTGTGCCAGTTCATATGTCACACTGCTCCTGATGTCTCCCAACATTTCCAGGAAATCCACGGTAGTATTTATTCAGAATGTGGCCCAGGCAGACATCCTAGTGGGGTTTAGCGTGTTTGCCATGATCCAAGATGCCTCTCAGGGTGAAAGATCGTCATGCTCTTTTCAGACAGCCCTGTGGCAAAACTTCCAGACTGCAAATGCCCACATCAGCTCCCTTTTGCTCAGCTGTGTAAGTCTGGAGGCCTTTCTGATCACATTCCTTCCAGCTGAGACCCGCCATATAAGAACGGTCAGATGTGCCAGGGTGGCTTCTAAGTTCATCTGGACTTCTGTTATTGCTGAGTGTATTGTTTATCAACTGGAGTGCTTAAGGGACCTCAACATCACTTCTCTGGGTGCACCCAAGTACACACTGGTGCTACTTAACTCCTGCAATGGAGCAGCAGCCCTGATGAAGTCATTCATTTATCCCATCGGTTTATTCTTACGAATCATCAACGTATATCTCTTTTATAAGATATTCTTCAGCAAGTCACCTTGAAGTGATTCAAAAAGGAGATGCTCAGTGAATGGGCAGAGGAAGAGAAACATGTATATGATCTGTACACTGAGACTTAGAGGAATGTTTAGGGATGTCTGGCCCTCCTTATTGGTTCTATTGGGTGTTTACTATGTATTGCTTTCTGTCAAAGAACATGTGAAAAGCCTGGAGACTGTGCTAGAGGAGTTCATAGGTTCCTAGATTTAGAGCTGGAAGGGAACTCTGAGATCGAGTGTGGCCTGTCATCTTATACAGGAGACAGAGGCCCACAGAGGCCCATGTGCCCATGGTCACACAGGTAATAAGTATTAGAACCAGGATTTGAACCTAGGTCCTCTGCCTCCAAATCTCATTGTATCATGAGAGGTGAAATTGATTAAAGCACATTTTAATCATATAATCAGGAATTCTTCATTGATTGCCTACTACGTACAAAGCATTGTGCTAGGTGCTGTGAGGGGAATAAAGATAATGAATACTTAGGGTCTCTCCCCAAGGAGTGTACAGTGTAGTGAGGGAGATAACAGAAAGCAGTATAAGCTAAGAGGAGGTGGCATAGCAGAGTCACAACCTCTACAACCTTGGGTAAGTCACTTCCTCTATGTGGGCCTCTGTAAAATGAGGGAATGGATGCTTTCAGCCCTGACATTCTGCGACATCCTGAATGAATGATACAAACGTGAAGTGCTGTAGACTGACAAAGGAAGGCTGCAATCGACTTGGTTTCTGAGGTAGGTGGGGAAGGCTTTGCCAAGGAGGTGGTGGGATGTGAATCAGGCTTGAAGGCTAAGCTTGTTACTACCCTCCCATATACCTCCCAAAGGTATCATGTATACCTCCCAAAGGTAGGTATACACATACCTCCCAAAGCCACTCTCTTGGCCAAATGCAAGTTGGCTCAGGCCTGTGTTTATGGATACCTATAGTTCTTTGCAAAGCTCTTGTTAGAGCTTGGGTTCAGGAGAGTGGTTCTCCCTTAATTTCTTTCATCTAACATTTCTGGTGATCGAACCTCGAGGTGTTTCAAGTGGGCATGCTAGTTTAGATCTACATGAAACAAATATATCATTTGCCCTAAGACATTCTTTTTGTCCCCTTGCTTTATCTATGTAGTCACTAATAATAGCTCACATTTCTCTAGAGTGCAAAAGTTTGTAAAGTACTTTGCACAATTATCTCAATTGGTCTTCACAGTAGCCCTTCCAGATAGGAGCTGTGGTTTGATTGCCACCATTCTATGATAAGGAAACTGAGGCTTCAGTGACTTGCCCACGTCAAAGTCAGGATTTGAACTTGAGTCTTCTCACTCCAAGGCTAACACTGTTTATTACACCATTCTGCCTCCTCTAATGAATGAAGCTATTGAGTAAGAGCCTCAGTCCATAGTTAAAGTCTATGGACCTGTCAATGCTTGGCTCATACTAGGTTCCTCAACAGAAACTTTCCCTTAATGGACATCTCTGGGTCAACAATTTGAAGTTAAACTCAAGGACATCTGGGGGGCAGGAAATGGAAGCATGAGGAGGCAGGAAGGCCTAGACATCTGGCAAAATAAAGAGCTGCACACGTACTAGTCAGACCAGAAGATTCATAAGATCCCGTCTCTATACCCATGATCCTATGAGATTGGCCCATAGAGGATCTGGTGGACTGACAGGCAAAGCAAGTACCTTAGGTCAAACTGACTCCTAAGACTGATGCTTTCTAATTGGCTGGAATTACTTCTTTGCCCCTCTCTGACATGACTCTTTTTAGAGTGTAGCATACTCTCTGTATTCCTCCTTCCTTTTCCTTCCTCTCCTAATCCCTACAGAGAATGAGAATAAATGATCAGAGCCAGACATAGCCAGCAGACCCAAACTCTCTCCTGTGGTATTTCCACTCTTTCTAGGTCAAAGAGTGAAGCTAGAAATCCCCTTTCAATCCTCTTCCTGCCTCATGAAGAGACCAATTCAAATGAAATCGTTCCTTGAAGTGGACTGTGAGCCAGATGACAGGTTCTGATGACAGCTCAACTCATGCTCTTGAACATTTCTCTCATCTTCCTGAGATGGGGTGTGGCCTTAGAAATGCTTCTCCGTATAAAGGAAGGAGTACTTGGATTGCATTTCAAGAGTGCTTGAGTTCTCTAGTTCTGGCTCTGCCTCTTATTAGCTGTGGGACCTTGGGTAAATCCCCTCTCCTCGATGGGCCTCAGTTTCCTCCTTTTTAAAGTAAGAGGGTTGGCCTGAGTGATTTCTTTGGTCTCTTTCAGCTCTAACTTTCTATGATTCCCCATGGATGAAAAGGTTGGGGAGTGGGATTAAGTGGTAATTTTTATTGCTGCTCTCCAGCATGAGAACAATTCCCTCTGCACCCGCTATTTTGCACAATGATTACCAACGTAGCTGCTTCTGCCAAGAGGGTCTGGGAGGAGAGCCAAGGAAAAGGGAAGTGCCAGAAGGCTCTTCCTGTTCAATAGAGGAGGATGACTTATGAGACAGAGCCCTAGAAAAGGTTGCTAGAGAAGCAGAGGTTCTTCCTTTCCAGACCTGAATCATGGGTTGTTTGTCAACCGAGGAGGAGGATAGTTCTTATAATAGCTCCTTTTTCTGTAGTGCTCTGAAGTCTACAAAGTACTTTTTTCACAACCTCGTGAGGTAACTAGTATAAGCGTTTTTACAAGTGAGAATTGGACTCAATTGGACTTCCAATTGGGTTAGACTAGACAGCCAAGGAGGTTCAGTGATTCTGTGAAGCTAAGTTCCAGAGTGGTCAACTGATCTGCTCCAGGTCACATAGATAGGAAGCAAATTGAGATTTGAACCTGGGTCTTCTGGGTCTGAGACCAAGTCCAGTGCCCTTTCTACTTCACTGCACTGCCTACTTACTGGGTGTCAACTCACTAAAAGACTATAGGATACTAAGCATTGTCCAGGACACACATCCAATCTCTCTCCATCTAGAAACACAATCAAAATCTCTCTCTCTCTCTCTCTCTCTCTCTCTCTCTCTCTCTCTCTCTCTCTCCTTTCTCACTTTCTGGGTCTGCTGTTTTTCTGTCCAATGACTTCAGTTTTCAATCTATCTGCATTTTTGGCTTTCTTATGCATAGAGTAAGCCTTGTGCATAGGTGACTATGTAGATGTAATTTCATGAGTTCTGGGAAGGCCCGTATACTCCCTCCAGCTTTACTACTTGGTATCCATGTGACTTTTGGGCAAAACACTTTCTGCTGATGGGACTTTAGAGGTCATTTGATCGAACGCTTTCATTTTACAGATGAAAAAACTGAGGCCCAGAATAGGGCAGTAACTCACCCAAGGTCATGCAGATACTAAGTAGAATAGCAGAGACAGGATTCAAACTCAGGTCACAGGATTCTAGAATCAATGAGTCAGATATGGAAAGGTCCTCCAAAATCATCTAATCTAATTCCCTAGTTTTCCAGATGAGGAGCTAAGAATGAGAAACCAAAGAGGTTGAATGGCTTGCCAATGGTCATGCAGAGCCCCACAAAGTGAGCACTCTAGACTGTATCATGAAACTTCTGAGAAGCCAAGCAATGTGAGACAAACTAGACTGGGAGCTGATCCCTCACCTCACCAATAGCCTCTTTGAGGCTTCCAAAACTTGTTATCTACCAATTCCCTTCTAGATAAGAAATGAGGTGGAGAAAGTCTGCATACCTTCTGACAGATTTGTAGTAACTGTGCCTCACACTCTAGAGGAAAATTAAAGCCATCAGAACTAACTTAAATGTTTTTTTGCAAGTTCTAGAGCTCTGTCTATATCCTTGTAACCCTCAAGCATCAAGGTATTTCCACATGGCCAGATGTCTAACTAGTAAGGACTAAGGGTTTCGCATTTCATTTGGATGCTAGACATTGTGTGAGCACAGTGTTTGTCTCATTCAAGCCTTGGGTCGACTTACACAACCTCACCTGCTTGGTTACCATTGTCACCCTCCCAAAAGCAAGATGGAGTCCCCAGTGGTGTGCTGACAAATGTTTAACTGATTCTCTAGGGGAATATGTATGCAGGACACATTGTTAGGTTGAATCTATATTATTAACATTTTATCCATCACTTTCTTAAGTCTACCATAGGTTCCCAAAGTGGGAGATACCATCCCCTGGGGGGTGCTGGAATGATCCAAGGAGGGTGATAGTAGTCTTAGGTAATGCAAATTTCAAAAAAAAAAACATTGAAGGATTAAAGAAAGTAGATTTCCAGGGGGGCGGTGCTGAGTAATTTTTTTCTTTTGGAAAGGGGGTAGTAGGCAAAATAAGTTTGGGAACCTCTGGGACAATCAGGAAAATAGTCAATCAAGTTTGCCAATTTCCAAGGTGTAAATGCTCACAATGAAAGTTTAACAATCAGCTCTTGTGAGCCAGTTTGAGCTGGTTCTAGTATTCCTGAGTCCCCAGCAGAAGAAGACCGTGTAAGTGCTCACAGAATGACAGAGTTGGGGAAGAGATCTAAAAGGGTATATAAGCCAGCTGGTATCTGAACAAGAATCCCCTCTACAACACCCCCAAAAGTGGCCATCTGACTTCCACTTGAAGATCTCTAGTGACAAGATCTATTACCTCTGAAGACATCTCATTTCACTTTTGAATAGATCTAATTCATAGGAATTTCCCCTTTAATTCAAGCCTAAATCTCCTTCTCTGTAATTTCCACCTACTGTTCCTGCTTCTGTCTTCTAGGGCCAAGAAGAACAAAGCTAATCTCTCTTCTGTGTAACAACCCTTCAGATGTTGGAATCCGATGATTGATCATTTCCACCTGAATTTACCTTGTATTCTCATTAAAGTGAGGGGGTGATTTGTCATCCCAATGAATTTTTGAACCCCTGGTCCCTAGACCTAACCATGACATAAGTTACTAAAACTGGAAGCCCTCCTCCCTCCCCGGAGACCTGGCCCGTGGCCAGAATCCCCAGGCTGGAAGGGACCTCCAAGACCAATTCGTCTAATGTGTACCTGAGCAGAAATAATCTCAACAACGTCCCCAACAAGTGATTGTTCAGCCTCTACTATGTCCTTCCTAGATGTGTAAGCTGTGAACATGGAAGGGCAACTTTATTAGATGGGGCAGATGAAAAGGATCTTGTGAAAATAATATAACTATATTATTTTAGAATTGATAATACACTAAGTTTCTCAAGAATGAAAAAAAGACATATTTCTACCTGAGAAAGACCAAAAGATAGGGTGGGTTTGAATAGAAAAACAGTCCAAACACCCTAACACTAAAATAGAAACTTCAAAGTCACTGAAAAGATTTTGAAATGCATAATAAATCTTAAAGAAATCAGCATATATTTAAAAATATAATCAACCTCTCCCATGAGGTGTGTCGATAAGCCTGTATTTTCA